ACAAGGAGGAACACGAGAGGCACCTCCGCACAACCTTGCAAACCCTACGAGAACACCAACTATACGTCAAGTTCTCCAAATGTGAATTCTGGAAGGACAACGTAGCCTTCCTGGGCCACGTAATAACCAAAGAAGGGATCAAGGTGGACCCCACCAAAATCCACGCTGTCAAGGAATGGCCCACCCCAAAATCACTTTCGGAGATCAGAAGCTTCCTAGGACTAGCGGGCTATTATAGAAGGTTCGTACCCGACTTTACCAAGATAGCTCAGCCTCTCACCAGACTCATGAAAAAGGAAACCCCTTTTCAATGGGACGACAACTGCGCCACAGCCTTTCAATAATTGAAAGAGAAGCTGACCACGACTCCCGTCCTAGCCCTTCCATCCGGGACGGAAGGATTCGAAGTCTTCAGCGACGCCTCCAAAAAGGTGCTGGGATGCGTACTAATGCAAAAAGGCAAGGTAATAGCATACGCATCTAGATAACTCAAAACCCACCAAGAAAATTACCCCACACACGACCTCGAGCTAGCCGCCATCGTGTTCGCTCTGAAAATTTGGAGACATTACCTATACGGAGTACAATGCAAATTTACACGGATCATAAAAGCCTAAAGTACATCTTCACCCAGAAAGACCTAAACATGCGACAACGAAGGTGGTTGGAACTTATAAAAGATTACGACCTAGACATCCAGTACCATGAAGGCAAGGCTAACGTTGTGGCAGATGCCCTAAGTCGAAAGACTAACCACTCCCTCAACACCACCTGGATCCTGCCTGACCAGCTATACAAGGACTTCCAGAAGTTGAATTTGGAGGTAGTAGAGCAAGGACAAACCAATTCTGAGATCCGCCTATTCAATGCCAGAGTCATACCCACGATATTCGAAGAATCAAGGCCGGACAACATCAAGATCCAGAACTAAATAAAATTCGAGTCACCCTAACTCAGGAAAAAGGCGGACCCTTCGAGATATGCAAGGATGGTAGCCTCTGCTATCAAGGAAGGTGGTGCGTGTCCGCAACACACCCCCACCTAAAGCAACGAATCCTAAAAGAAGGACACAACTCCCCATACTCAGTGCACCCCGGAGGCGAAAAACTATACCAAGATGTGAAAAAGATGTTTTGGTGGCCCAACATGAAAAAGGAAGTCGCAAACTTCGTGGGCAAATGTCTGAACTGCCAAAGAGTAAAGGCTAAACGATGCAAACCCAAAGGACTCGTCCAACCCCTGGAAATACCACAAGGAAAGTGGGACTCCATATCCATGGATTTCGTCGGGGGATTACCCACAACACCAACCGGCAAGGATAAAATCTGGGTGATAGTGGACCGGCTAACCAAAACAGCACAGTTCATTGCTATGAAAGAAACATGGACCATGACGCAGCTAGCTCGGGCCTACCTAAACCAAGTAGTAAAATACCACGGGATCCCCCGAAACATTGTGTCCGATAGGGATCCCAGGTTCCTCTCACAATTCTGGAAGTCTCTACAAACAGCCCTAGGGACACAACTGAATCTGAGCACTGTCTTCCACCCCACTACTGACGGCCAAACCGAGAGAACCATCCAGACTCTCGAGGACATGCTAAGGGCCTGCATGTTAGATTTCCAAGGGACATGGGAAGAACATCTAGACCTCATCGAGTTCTCCTACAACAACAGCTACCACACGAGTATCCGCATGGCTCCCTACGAAGCTCTGTACGGTAAAAAATGCAGAACCCCCCTATGTTGGGAAGACATGGTCAGCCCAGTGACACTAGGACCCCAATACTTACAAGACACAATAGCTAAAGTCAAGCACATACAAGAAATAATGAAGGCCGCCCAAGACCGCCAAAAATCCTACGCCGACCTAGGGAGAAAACAAGCCGAGTTCACCACCGGAGACAAGGTCTGGTTGAGAATCTCACCTACGCGAGGGGTAATGAGGTTTGGAAGGAAAGGGAAACTCAGCCCCCGATTTATCGGCCCCTATGAAATCATAGAAAGAGTCGGGAACCTGGCCTACCGCCTCGCCCTACCTATCGAACTGAAACGGGTACACAACGTATTCCACATATCCCAACTAAAGAAATATGTACACGATCCAAGCCACGTGCTACAACCCGAGACCGTGGGCCTCGACGACACACTAACTTACAAAGAAAAACCCGTAAGAATCCTGGACACCAAGACAAGAACCACTCGCCGGCGAGCCATAGAAATGGTAAAAGTCCTTTGGACCAACCATGGGACCGAAGAAGCAACATGGGAACTCAAAGACACAATGAAAGAACGCTATCCCAAACTCTTCACACAAGGTAACCAGGGCGAAAACATAGGATAAGAGACGGGGGCACTTTACGAGGACCAAAGCTTCAGGGACGAAGCTTCCCATTAAGGGGGGGGGGGGGGGGAGAGTGTAACACCCCGTGTTACGGCCCCTAAAACCAATTAATCATTTAATCAATTACCCAAAAGAAAGGACTAAATTCCAATAATTAATTAAGAAAAGGCCCACCATAGTCCATGTGCCCTTCCCTAAACCCAATCCCCTAGTTCTAGAAGGACCCCTAAAACCAATTAATCATTTAATCAATTACCCAAAAAAAAGGACTAAATTCCAATAATTAATTAAGAAAAGGTCCACCATAGTCCATGGGCCCTTATCCCTAAACCCAATCCCCTAGTTCTAGAAGGAATAGAACTAACCCTAATTAGGGACTCTTAGGTATATAAATAGGGGGCATAGGAGGCACCTAGAACCCACACCACAATAATCCCTCACCACACAAGAAGTTCCAAGAATCCCCCTAGGAGAAATCAAGAAAGAAGGAATCTTAAAGAAAGACCCTTCATAGCCAAGGAAATTAATTAAGGCTAAGAGGTAACCCATGTCTCAACAAAACCTATTTTCCTTGCTATAATTATCTTCTTTGACCTCCTCTCTATACTTGTGTCTTGATGGATCGTTTATGATATTGATGATATGATCTTGATAATTGTGAGATGATTTTATGTGTGTTCTTGATGATCTTGATGATGATAAGAGGTTCTTGATGATTACATGATGTTCTTGATGAATCTTGATGTTTTGATGATTAAAAGATGAACTATGATTTATTGATTTGAATATGACTAGAGCCCTAGGTTAAAATTGGGAATTTCGTATTGTGTTATTCTTGATATAATTGGGTGGGATTTCGCATGTTCGGGTGTTGATTATGTTTAGAAGTCATGATAGGATATGTGCTATATGATTCTTGCTTTTGATCCGTTAATTGTCTACGTGGTGTCATCAATTGCGTTTAAATGTGTCTAAGCATGGTTTCGGGTTCCACAACGGATCCCGGGACGTTTATTTTGGTAAAAAGTCAGTGGGGGTAGGTGGGGGTAGGTGGACCCGCCGCCCGAAAAGGGCGTCGCCAGCGGGCAGCCGGCGGGTGGTCCACCACCCACCGGCTACCCGCTGGAAATTGTCCACTTCGGGACTCCGGCTTCCCCATTTGATGTTCCCCCGACCCTCGTGGTATCCCAACGGACTCCGTTTATCGTGCCTAAGTCTAGTTTGATGTTTCGAGTACCGTTCGTAAGATAAATGAGTCTTATATATCGCATGCTAGTTGAATTGGTATCCCGTTGGCCTAGGTGAAAGAAATATGAACCCTTATGATTATTCCTAGTATGTGGATGACCACGCATAGGTTTTTTATATGTTTTCTCCCCTTTCCCAATGTGCTAATTTGAGTTGCATGTGCTTGCTATGTGTTATGTGTGCATGATACCCCAATTTAGTTGCGATCAAATTGGTTACTCCTGAGCTGCGGTTCAGAAGCTGGCTACGGTCAGAATTACACTCTTGGGCTGCGGTCCACCGTTTGGTTGTGATCAAACGTTTTACATGAGCTGCGGTTCATATTCCTGGCTGCGGTCAGATGATCACTTTTTGGGCTGCGGTCCACCGTTTGGTTGCGATCAAACGTTTTATATGAGCTGCGGTTCATATTCCTGGCTGCGGTCAGATGATTACTCTTGGGCTGCGGTCCACTGTTTGGTTGCGATCAAACATTATGATAAGCTGCGGTTCATCGGTCGGTTGCGATCGACCCCTTCATATTGCGATACGAGGTAGGGTGCTGCGGGGCCGTGTTAGAGCTATATGCGCTGACCCTCATGTATGGGCATGCGATTGGTCCTGTGGCGCCACCAAAGTGTGCTTGTGTGTGATGAGATACGAATTGGGATGATGATATGAATGAGATGAAGTGAATCTGTGACCATAGGATATATGCTAGTATCTTTATATGCTTGATTATAACTGTTGAATGTGCTTATCCCTATCTGTCGAGTCTATTCTTGGTTTTAAAACTAGTGTCTCCTAAGTATATATCTTCCTGCTTCAAAATGGTTTTCGTATATCTATATATATCTATCTATAATGTATTTCAACGCGTTGGAGTGGGTTACCAGCATCTCTCACTGAACAGATATATTTGGCTTTCAGGCACAGAGGAGTAGACACTGGAGCGCGCTAGAGATTTGGAGCGTAGAGTAGATAGTTTCCCTTTCGGCCTGCGTGCCATGCTTATGTATTCACATTATTGAGGATATTAGTTAGCCTGTGCACCTGATTTCTCTAGATCATGTGTGGCATAGCACCCCGTACTCCACTACATTATGTTTTGGGATTTAATGAGAATTTACCTTGATTATATAAGTTCCAAAAGCTTTAAAATTTCGGGGTGTTACAGGGGCAACCGAGCAGAACGGAGCGAAGACCGTGAACAAGGGTAAGCGACCCCTGCAAGAGGAGGAGGGAGATCGGAATTGGAGGCACAAGCCGGTGATAAACATGATAGTGGGCGGTCACGAAGGAGGTGACTGCCTTCTGGCAGTTATACATGGGTGCAATAGTCTTCCAGGAGCCAGACCATAAGAAGATGTGCAGGGAGTCGATTATCTTTACGGACGACGACCTACCCAGAGGCCCCGCGCCGCATCGAGAAGCCTTGGTTATCGCGATGGACATCCAAGGGTCAGTCACCCGACGCGTGTTGGTCGACACGGGCAGCAGCGTCAACGTATTGTATCTAGAAGCCTTCTAGAGGTTGAGACTGGTCAGAGAACATATGCGACCAATCAGGACCCCCTGGGTTTACCGCGACGCAGTCAAGGCGGAAGGGTGCGTCTCTTTGACCGTCGAGCTGGGCACTTGGCCTCAGGTGAGAAGATTGGAAATGGATTTCGTCGTCATTGCTCTGGAGTGCGTACACAATGTTATCCTCGGTCGACCTAGGATAGAGGATCTGGGAGCCTTGATCTCCATCGAGCATCTGTGTATGAAGTTTCGCACAATGACCGGCGTCGAAGTGGTGCGAAGCGATCAGAAGACGGCTCGTAGTTGCTACCTGCAGGCCTACCGAAAGGTGGACAGAGTTGTGATCGGGTGAACACTATCGATCACCAAATGTCTGGCCGACCAGTAGAGCGCCTGACACCGGCAGTCGAACTGGAGGAAATTATCCTGGAAGCGGAGTATCCCAACAGAGTGGTCCGGGTCTGGATCGGCCTGCCTACCTCTGTGAAGTAAGTGGTCACGACAGTCTTAAAGGAATATAAGGAATTACTCGCATGGGGGCCTGAAGACAAGCCGAGGGTCGATCGATCAATCATAACCCACAGGTTGGCGGTCTACACGAGCCTCATGCCCGTAGCTCAGAAGAGGAGGCATTTGTCAAATGACTGCAGGGAATTTGTAAAGAAAGAAGTGGATGCACTGCTAGTGACAGGGCACGCTCGAGAGCTTAAATACCCCGGTTGGCTGGCCAACGTGTTGTTGGTGCCCAAGTCGCCGGCATGGAGAATGTGCGTCGACTACACCAACCTCAACAAGGCATGCCCAAAGGGTCCGTTCCCACTGCCACGGATCGACCAGTTAGTCGATGATACGGCTAGTTGCGCCCTGCTCAGCTTCATGGACGCTTTCCGCGGGTATCATCAGATTTTCATGCATGAATTAGTCGAGGAAAAGACCGCCTTCATCACCCCGGACGGGGTGTATTGTTACAAGGTAATGCCTTTCGGTCTCAAAAATGCTGGAGCCAACTACACTCGGATGGTGGCCCGTTTGTTCAAAGTGCTGATGGGCGGATCTATGGCCGCCTACGTGGATGACATGCTTGTCAAAAGCAAAGAAGTGACGGACCACGTGAAAGACTTGACGGACTGCTTTGAGATCATGAGGAAGTTTAACATGAGGCTAAATCCAAAGAAGTGCGCGTTTGCGGTCCGCGAAGGAAAGTTTCTAGGATACATGGTCACCCGACGAGGAATCGAGCCGAATCCGGAGAAAGTGCGGGCCATCTTGGATATGAAACCACCCAGTAGTTTTAAAGAAATGCAGCGATTGACAAGACGGATGGTTGCCCTTAGCCGATTCTTGTCTAAGTCCGCCGACAGGGCCCTCCCCTTCTTCGAAGTTATGAAGAGGCAGGACGGGTTCGAGTGGACTGGAGAATGCCAAACAGCCTTCGAGGACTTGAAGAAGTACCTCCTGGCTTTGCCCCTCCTGTCGAAACCGAAGGCGGGAGAAACATTGTTGTTATACCTAGCTGCCTCCCATAAGGCGGTCGAAGCTGTGCTAGTACGGGAAGAGGAGAAGGCTCAGCTGCCAATTTACTACATTGGGCAGATTATTCACCTCTCGAGAAAGTAGCTTTCGCCCTGGTCACAACGGTTAGGAAGTTGGTACCTTACTTCCAAGCTCATATCGTCCGGGTTCTGACTGACTTGCCCCTGGCCAGCATGCTGCGCAGTCCGGCCTCGTCCGGACGACTACTCAAGTAGGCGATAGAGCTCACCCAATACGGGATCGAATACGCCCCGCGACCATCCATCAAGGCTCAAGCCTTAGCTGACTTCATAGTAAAATGCTCTGCCTACCTGGTCGAGGGCTCGTTGGTCGAAGGCCTAGAAGCAGCGGAGTGGTGGGAAATACACACTAACGGTGGCCGGCTCCAAACACTGCGGGGGCCACCATAGTCCATGGACCGTTATCCCTAAAACCAACCCCTTAGTCCTATAAGGAATAGAATTGGCAAGCCCATACCATTTAGACCCTAATTAGGATTCTTAGATATATAAATAGGGACATAGGAGGCACCTAGAACCCACACCACAATAACTTTCACCACACAAGAATTCCCAAGAATTCCCATAGGAGAAATCAAGAAAGAAGAAATCTTAAAGAAAGACCCTTCATAGCCAAGGAATTTAATTAAGGCTAAGAGGTAACCCATGTCTCAACAAAACCTATTTTCTTTGCTATAATCTTCTTCTTTGGCTTCCTCTATATGCTCGTGTCTTGATATGATAATTGTGATGTGATCTTGATGATTGATGAGATGATTTTATGTGTGATCTTGATAATCTTGATGATGATAAGAGGATCTTGATGATTGTTTGATAATCTTGATAAGTCTTGATGTTTCGTGATTTTAAAGATAAACTATGATCTTGTTAATTTAAATATGATTAGAGCCCTAGGTTGAATCATGAATTTCGTATTGGGATTTTCTTGGTATATTTGGGTGGGAATTCACATGTTCGGGTGTTGATTATGTTTAGAAGTCATGATAGGTTGTGTTCTACGTGATTGTTACTTTTGATCCGTTAATTGTCTACGTGGTGTCGATTATTGCGTTTAAAAGTGTCTAAGCATGGTTTCGGGTTCCACAAGGGGTCCCGGGACGTTTATTTTGATAAAGAGTCAGTGGGGGGTAGGGGGGAACCGCCACCTACCCGCTGCCCAAAGAGACGCCGCCGGCAGCGGGCTGGCGACTGCCCGCCTGGCACCCGCTGCCCGGAAGTTATCGCCGGCGGGTAGCCCTCCACCCACCGGCTACCCGCTGGTCATTACCACTTCGGGACTTTGGCTTCCCCGTTTGATGTTCCCCAACCCCCGTGGTGTCCCAACAGACCCCGTTTGTCGTGCATGAGTCTAGTTTGATGTTTCGGGTACCATTCGTAGGATAAAAGAGCCTTATGTATTGCATGCTAGTTGAATCGGTAACCTGTTTGCCTAGAAGGAAGATGCATGAACCCCTTAGGACTATTCTTAGTATGTACATGCTCACGCATAAGTTTATTTATACGTTTTCCCCCTTCCCAATGTGCTAATGTGTGCTACTATGTGTTATGTGAGCATGATATCCCAATTTGGTTGCGACCAAATTGGTTATTCTTGAGCTGCGGTTCAGAAGTTGGCTGCGGTCAAATTTGTTACTCATGAGCTGCGGTTCATTCTCCTGGTTGCGGTCAGTGATTCACTTCTTGGGCTGTGGTCCACATGGGCCTCGTGTGCTATGATCCACCAACTGGACGCGCCAGGCGGTGTGTAGGGCCACTAGCCCGAGGAAGGCCATAGCCCACCGAATGAGTGATCAGGCGGTGTGTAGGGCTATGGTCGGCTGCGATCCACCGAGTGTACGTGCCAGTGGTGTGTAGGGTCGTAGTCTCCAAAGATCATCGCCCACCGAATGAGTCCCTCAGGCGGTGTGTAGGGCTTTGATATACTACGACCCACCGACTGAGCTCGTCAAGCGATGTGTAGGGTCGCAGTCCCCAAAAGAGGATCACAGTCCACCAATTGAGCGCGTCAACGGTGTGTAGGGCTGTGATCCGCCGTTGAAACTATCGACGGTCTATACGGTTGGTTGCGATCAACCCCTTCATGCTGCGTTATGAGGTAGGGTGCTGCGGGGCCGTGTTAGAGCTATATGCGCTAACCCTCATGTTCGGAGCATGCGATTGGTCCCGTGGCGCCACCAAAGTGTACTTGTGTGACACGAATAATGATTGAAGGATGATGTGAATGATTTGAAAGTGAACTGTGACCTTAGATACATGTTCCTTATGATATTGTCTCTATATAACTGATTATCATTGTTAATGTGCTTATCCCTACCTGTCGAGTCTATTCCTGGTTTTAAAATTAGAGTCTCCTAAGTATATATATCTTCCTGCTTCAAAATGGTTTTCGTATATATATATATATATATATATATATATATATATATATATATATATATATATATATATATATATATATATATATATATATATATATATACCTATATTGTATTTCAACGCGTTTGAGTGGGTTACCAGCATCATTCGCTGAACAGATATATTTGGCTTTAAGACACAGATGAGCAGACCCTGGAGCCCACTAGAGATCCGAAGCGTAGATTAGTTAGTTTTCCTTTCGGCCTGCGTGCCATGATGATGTATTGACATTGTTTTGAGGATATTTAGTTAGTTCAGTCTGTGCATCTGAGTTCTCCAGCTCAGATGTGGCATAGCATTTCACACTCTTATGTTTAGTAATACTCCGTTTTGGGATTTAATGAGAATTTACCTTTATTATATAAGTTTTAAAAGTTTCAAAATTTTGGGGTGTTACAGTTGGTATCAGAGCCTAAGTTTGACCCTAGGATAAGACTCTTAAGACAAGATTTTAGGACATTAGGCTTAAACTCTAAGAAATCAGGAACATAGGATTTTGGAATCATAGGACACACGGTGAGATTGTGAGGCCCCTAAACTTCCCCTCACCCTAATACACACCTAATTTAAAGAACTCCCCTTCGCTTATCACATCAAGGTAAGGGTACAACACTCTAACTCGACATTACTATAAACATTGGCTCCGTAGATCAGCAGCATGTCACCCAACAGGAGACAATCAAGGACTCCGGAACCTGCCACACACGACCCCCTGGCTCAAATCCTACAGCAACTAACCTAAGTCGCCCAAGCACTGAGCGACGTAGCTCTCCGCAACAACAGACCACCACCACCTCCACCAAACACAAACTCAGAAGTCGCCCTACAAGTTTCAAATCATCGACCACCCACTTTCTCGGGAGAAGAAGATCTCGCAATCCTTGAGGAATGGATTCGGACCTTCGACAAGATTCTGGGATTGGTAGAATGCCCAGAAGAACGTCGTGTAT